GCGGAGTAAGCAATTGGCAAGTTATATATGCACTTGCATGTATATCTGGAATATATATAGAGGCATATGTCTCTCCTCTCTCCTCTCTCCTCCTCTTCCTCCTCCTCCTCTTCCTAAGTTGAAGTCTTTTCCAAGTGCAAGTTGTGGGGTCTACAAAGAAATGGTATTCTGACACAATGTGTCTAAAAAATCCAACTAAAACTAATAAGTATTGGACAGCGGCGAAAGAGATCGCGCGATTTTTGTTAATTGACGCAAGCCTTCCCAGCAGATCGAACGTTATATTAGTCGTTAGACATTCGTGTAGCGCGTTCATACATATCCACAGAGGTAACGTTGGATAGACTAATCTTTTAAGAAAAGTATCGGTCCCCATCACGGCCTCACGGATCGTCATTTTGCGTGCCGTCAGCTAGCGTGTCAGTACATTAATTGTAATTTTTTAATTAATTTATATTAAAAAAATATATAAAAGTAATTTCAACTTCAAACCTAATAATAATTTAATTGAAAATTTATAAAATTAAAATTAATTTTTGTTTTTTCTTAACAATTAATTAAAAAATAATAATACATCTAAAATTTTTTAACATATATTTTTAGTGTATAAGTTAAAAAAACATATTTTTTAAAATTTATATAAAATACATAAAAATTATTATTTATTTTAATATTATTATATAAATAAATTTAAATAAATAAATAAAAATTAAAATATAAAAATATATTTTTATTTTTAACATAAAAATATAAAAAAAAATTTATTACACTCAAAATCTTAACATCGTGCCATTAGCAAAAACCCATACACCTTTAAGGTGTGACTAAGGAGACAGGCTGAAAGAACCCTTAAATAGTTGTTAAAAGAAAAAAAAGGTGGTTTGGGGTCCACAAAAATAAGTACTTTTCCCAATGCGTCAAAAAGAGGGAATCGCACGGTATTGTTCGATTGACGCGTACCCACCGAACTGATCGCGCGTTATTTATTGTCAAGACATTGGTGTCGAGCGTTTGGATTGCGATAAACGGCAGATTCATTCACTGGTTATTTGTTTTCCACGCCATCAGTTTTGGTCCTCACCCACCAAGCATTGCGGTGGAATAATCTTCAACTTTCATAAATAATTGGCCAGAAAAGGCAATTGGATTGGCGAATGGTCTGTTGAACTTGGACAACAAGGACAATTTAAATTTTAACACTTTTCTGGATGGATGAAGAGAAATTTAGAACTCTGTCTCCTATCATCCCCATGTAACTACAGAGAAGAAAAAAACAATAGAGGAAATTGCAGGCCCCATCAGTATGTTTTTTTCCTTGTCATTTCATAAGTAAGTTGTGGGTTTTTTTTTTTTTTAACAAGGCATCCAAATTCAATGTCAGTAAGTTACTTGACAAAAATAAATTCAAAGCACAGTATCCGCGCTTTTGAATGTGAGCGTTGTAAATTACACGGGGAGTGTGTGTATATAAGTTTCAAATTTACTAGAATATATCCAACTGTTTGTGCGATTTTTTTAACAGCAAATAAAAATTTTCATTAACATTTAGTATCTAGAGTTTAAGGAGTATTTTAACTCAAGTATATCAATAACTGTTCTACAAAAAGACCCTCCAACTTGCAAGATCATCCCATCTGCCTCAGTAAAATACATGTATCGTTCGCGCAGGCCCAACCTAATGCAATATACGTCGGCCAAATAAAAAAAGAAAAAACCTAATGCAAAATATATATGCACCATTCCATGTATAAAAGAAAAAAAATGAAGTGATTAGTGTAATTTTTGATTTAATATATTTTTTTATATTTGTTTAATTTAATTATTAAAATATAAAATATAATTAAAACTTTTTAAACCAATTTTTATATATTGTATGTATTATTGTATTTTTAAAATTATTTATTTTTAATTTTA